ATCACCATCTACCACTCATTCTGTAAGACAGGTTAAAAACCAAAGATATCTCCATCTACCACTCATTCTGTGAGACAGGTTAAAACCAAAGATATCACCATCTACCACTCATTCTGTAAGACAGGTTAAAACCAAAGATATCACCATCTACCACTCATTCTGTAAGACAGGTTAAAACCAAAGGTATCACCATCTACCACTCATTCTGTAAGACAGGTTAAAACCAAAGATATCTCCATCTACCACTCATTCTGTGAGACAGGTTAAAACCAAAGATATCTCCATCTACTGAAAGAGCATAATAGCAAATACCTGTCTAATAGGAGAAACAAATGTTTGACTAGCTATTCAGTATCATCTGTTATCAGAATATCAACAATGACAGTTGAAAGGGAGTATGTCTTACTTTAGGAAAAACTGTTAATTGACCAAGGGAAAATGCAATAGACAGAATTGTTAAGTGCAAAATACATCAGTATGTGTTCTAATTAACCAATTCCTTCTACAGTATTTGGTCAAAATTTGGGTATCCCCAACCATACCATGTGAGAACATTACATAAACTGTCATACAATAGCTGACAACTAGTCTGAAAACAGCTTGCATCAAGATGACATGTTACGTCACATTTTGAAATGTGAATGATAGTGTGTTTAATTACTAATAATTTAGGGTAGAATATCCTGCTTGCGAAGTAAAATTTGGCATTAGCATTATTCATGCCTATTCTGTCATTTCAAAAGTAAATTTTGAGTTTTCTCTGCATGCGCAACTTTTCAAAGGAGAGACAGGCGAAAGCTCAGACAAGACTACGTTATTATGCGTTTAATGTATACGTTATATATATATTGAACATTACTAAAAAATAAATAGCATTTGTTTGTGGCTGTGCATAAAATAGTTATAAATATTGTGAAACTTGACCTAAAAGTAAGGAAAAAACCCTTTCTTTTTAAGTGTCTTATTGAACAGGATTTCTGGTAACGAATTTGTGTGACTTACCTCAAATTCAGTGGATAATTAATATATTAGTGTGAACAAGAGAAGTAATAATATTGAAAAATTCTAAATCCACTTGAAATTCAGTATGAAAATTTCCCCATACCTAATGACACTGATTAAAATCTAAATATTTAAAATTCTCTGTTTTTCAGTTTCTAAGGGATACTTACAGTAAGACATCTATATAGTCTTAACTTAATGTAAAACCTCAAGTATTAAACCACTTTTCTTTGAACTCTATCATAGGTCAAAAGTGGCAACAGTAAACAGAGTGAACAATCTAAGTATCACAAAATTTGAGTGTTGTTTGTTATTAAGCACAAAGGGCAGCTATCTGTGCTCGCTCAGCCACCAGGGGTATCGAAATCCGGTTTCTAGCGGTCTAAGTCTGCAGACATACCGCTGTGCCACGGGATTTGGTGATAACTCGTATAATGTGGTCGTAACGGCTCGGCTCCGTATTGGTATCAGTAATTTTCCCACTCAGGTTACATTTCAATGGTAATTACACATCTTTTAAATACTCGGAAGCTCGTGGCATCATTTCTTGGAGTGACTCGAGAACTCCATTGGTTTTTTTCAAGTACAAACTTTTAGCTCATAGCTCCGTCATCTCTTGCCCGATTTCAGATCTAATTACAGTTTTGGACTCGGGAGGTGAAACCCTTTCGACTGACATATTTGATCACACCTAAGGTCTCATATATTAATTTACTTTAATCCTGCCTAAAATAATTTAAATTTGAGGGTAGGTTGGTAGAGATCTTGTTGAGTAATAAAATTGAGTTGTGCCTACGTGTGCCCCACGCTTGGTATTGCTGGCGCACAAAAAAAAATATAACTAATAAAAGGGGGGGGGAGTCTCGTAGATTAATCTACCTAAAATAATTTCAAGTGCCATGGCTATTGAGGATTTCCTCTTGTTTATTCTTTGCTTCAAAAGTGCTCAGAATTAAAAACTCAGCAAGATTTTTATCTTAAACTTCAACTCTCGTTTCAATCACGCTGAAAACTCCAGTGTTAACAATTAAATTACAAGTGTATCAATCTCCTTTGGTACAAAAGTACTCAGAGTTGAGGGTTCGGCAAGCTTCTTGGTTTCAACCAGAGCTTCAATCACGCCTTTCTTTTCCATAGAGGAACATATCTCTTTAGTAAGAAAGTTTGATAAAAAGAAAAAAATCCCAATTTCTCCTCAACTAAGTGTGTGTCATTGGAGGGGGGATATCTTATGCCTGCTTAGAGTCCAGGTTTCAGCAATATGCGGTTGTACCGTAATGGTACAAAACTGGAGGCAGCCATTGATGCCCACAGAAACCTTTGGCTTCGGTACTTGTTTTTTATTTACTCCCCACGTGGAATGTTATGTTTATACACGTATTGACGTTGACCAGTAGCTAAAACTTCTCTGGGCTCCCCTGAATGCCCGGGCTTGGGACAGATTACCCAGCTGTTCCAACACCTTGTGGGCAGCACTAGAGATAGCTATTCTGTATTTAAAAGTGAAATACAATGCAACAATAAAATATTCCTCCCTTTTGTTATACGATTAACAAGGAAATGGCTCACTATTATCAAAGAAGGGCGTGATTACTTTCAACTGAAAACACTAAGGTTCATTACATATTTTACAATAACAACTTTCCCACAATATACAGCAGAACTCGTTTATTCACTTCTCATCTGAGCCTGGCATCAACTATATTTCTTATTAGATTAAATGCTATAAAGTACAGGAAGCATTACTTCTAGACTTTCCTCTGATTTGCTGGTAACAGCGAGCGTTACTAACACCACTCTACGCCTCAACAAGTAATATTCATGCTAGAGGCGACAATTACACCCGATCGCAGTAATTAGTCAATTATAATTTATCAAGGTCATAAAAAAACGCAGAGAAAGAAAGAACCGTGCAATACTTGTACCTGTACTGCTCTCGTGTTATGTTTATATAGTTTAAACTCCAAAACACTTCTTAAGACTTAGTCTATCACCTCTCCTCATGCTGTTTTCGAAATTGAAATGAAAACAAGCATGCACGCAACACACATCTGCCACTAATTCTGCTATGATATATGTTATCAATAGTTAGAGCATTTCATTTCGCTATTATCAGACAAGAAGCAAACCAAAAGTGGGCAAAACGTGTGGCATAGATTTTTGAACCTATAAATTAATAGCGATGTGCATAATGGCTATTTAAGCAATTATTTATGCGCTAAATGCTATATTGTTTATTTTGCTTTCTTCAGTTTTGTTTTGAATATCAACAGATGACATCCTCATGTTTGCATGCACTACAGATATAGTTGTGAATTTCATATACATGTTTATTGAAACCCCTCTAAATCACATCAGCAAAACACACAGCATATATATACACAGTAAAAAACAACAATAAAAACTTTATTGTTTCCACAGCAACCTAACGTATCTGAGACGAATGTCAAATACCACCTATTATTCCTATAGTCATGTGCTTTGTCACTACGCGAAGTATTCACAAAAAATAAATAATTGTCCTAGTTTATTGACAGTTGTATCTCGGGCACGTTTCCTCTAACACACTTTATCATAAAATTTCCCTAGAGTGCTTGAAAAACAAGAAGTATAGGAGGCCTGTTTATCACTGGGTTATTCATGAGCACTGGGGCATGTGACCCCAGATTTTTACCAGGTAGCGAAGTGTCTCTTTCAATGGGGAATAGAGACTTGTGTCTCATGGAAAATTGCTGTTTAAACTTAAATTCAATGTTTACGTTTACCTTGGCAAATAAGCCTCCCCCCACCCAATTCAAATAAGTTCTGCTACCTATATTTTTGTATTGTTTCAGCTTTAACCTTACAATTGGTTTAACGACACATCTCGGCATTATTCTAGCTAAGAGCTCAGTATTGTTTTAACAACACATATTTTCCGTTCTTGCAGTAATATTTTTATTTATTCTTAGCCACAATATGCAATAAGTATAAAGTGTTGCAGTGGCAATTTTTTCGAACAGTTCAGATATACAGGCATCAACTCTTCCTTGTCTGACTCATCACAGCTGGCCAGATAAGCACTTTCCA